AAGAAATAAAAATATGAAGGGTGGAGAAGTGGATGGCTCTTGAAGGTAGGTGGTCAAAGAACATAGTCAATGAAAGCAGCTACTGTCTGGTCAGGGTGATGACATCCCTGGTATTGGTCTTACGAACTTATCCCAGTGGCCCTGAATAGGTACTATTATTTTACTCATTTTACAGATGAGGAATTTGAGGACCAGGAAGGTTATGTTACTTTCATGGAATCACTGAGCTACTGAGTCTTAAGATCTGGGATTTGGATCCAATTTGGCTGAGTGACAAAGCCAATGTTCTACTACCTTCTGGTATCGATCCAAGGGGCTTCCTCCCACCATGCATGCTGTAGGTTGAGGAACAAAACATCTCCTGATACCCCAAAGAGCAAGGCTCTGGGTGGTGAGCTAATCTGGAGGTGTAGCTCAAAATCCCTGCTATGACTGAGCTGTCTGCTAGGGGTATGAGTGCTCAGAGCAGAGATGTGCTCATCCGTCATCAGGGAATACTCACCCCATTGTCGGGCCCCACCTAAATGTTTTTTTATTGTCTGCCCTTCACCATGAGTAATGCCACTTTCCATTTTAAGCTGGGAGCCTCAGGAGATGACTGCATTCTAGGCCAGGATTTGAAGCTAAATGCTGCCTGGGGGATTACTCACCCTCTTCAAGATGTGGCCAACAGCCCACCCTCCCACTCAGGATGCTGCTGGAAGACTTTCTTCCTTGCTGAAGCCTAAAGGAAATTTGGTTTCCCCCAGGATGAACTAGGAGTGGTGCCAGGAAATCACACAACTGGCAAGTTAGCTGGTTCTCCACATGAAACTACTGTCTTACTTCCACTCCCCTTGAGTATGCTAAGGTTTTGTGACTCGTTTATTCATCTGGCATTTCTTGACGGTCTACTATGTGTCCAGAACTCTCCTCTGTGATAGAGTTACTGCCAAGGGCTACACAGTTTTCATTCGTGTCCTTGGGGAGAGAATGGTCCAGGGGAAATAAGCAGGCACATATGATAAAATGCCATAACTAATAGATAAATGCTGCAACACAGGAGCTCAGGAAGTCTTGAAAACCAACAGCCACAGTAAGCAGGAAGGACAAAGAGGAGCTGGCAAGCTTTTTTTTTTTTCACCATAAGCAACCAAAACTGATTCCAGAAAGAAAATTTGGAGAACCTGGGGTTGGTCAGTGAGTCACTGGCAAGGCATAGTAGCCCCAAGTCACACACCAGGAATGGTCCTGCCAGACCAAGATGTGTGTGTGTGTGTGTGTGTGCGTGTGTGCGTTTGTGTGTCCTGGGGTGAGAGAGATGGAGTGGTGACTCTCAAACAGAGGTGGAGCTTTAGATGCTGGACAGTCAAAAGAATGACAAATGTTGAAAACAGCAGGTAGAAGCAGGGACAGTGGTGGGGAGAGGGCTGTGTCAAAATGACCTAAGACACTTTGAATCAGAGGAACCCAAAAGGAACAGCTACCGAGAGCACTGTCTGAGTGAGGCAGGCAGGCGCTGGGGCACAGCCAGGCTCCTGGGGACACCTTGGTGGGTGAAGTTTACTACTCCATGGCAGGCTCTGCCACCTCTCCAAGGAAAGCAGCAACGTGCCAGCCGGTAAGTAGGGGCTATGTTTTACGCCTTTCCTGTGTTTTCTTCAAGTGCTCCTGGGGCCATTCTGGAAGTACACAATTCTCATTACCTGTTGTGAGATCACAGAGCCCAGCTAAATCAGGAAAATGCTCTGTGCATGATAGTTGGAAAAGGTGATGGGAACAAGCCAGTGGCTAAACAGGAAGAGCCAAGTCCTTAATGCTTGGGCCACACGAGCTGATGTGTTATTCCATCTCATCCTCATCATAAGCCTGTTAGTTCACAGATGAATGGACTGAGGCACAAAGATATTAAGTGACTTAACTGGCTAAGATCCTGTGGTTAGCAAATTGCAGAGCTGGGATGCCGATGTAGCTCTGCTCTCGTGTAACTGAGTCTGTTGGCAGAGACGTGAAAAAGTAAGACTTAGAAGAAGATAAAAGCTCATCTGAGGAGTAAATTGTTTTCTAAGCTAAATGAGTATTAAGGGGTTGGAAGCCAAATCCTTTAGCTATCACCACCCTCATGGGCAGTATTTGAATCTTAAGGTCTGTTACTGTGCTATTTGTTCAAAATGAAGACATCCAGGATTCCTGGGTGCACTGATCATAGGGGACTGGCTGATCAGTTAAGAAATGCTTGGTTATTCATTATTTATTAATATACCTACCTACCTGGGAAACCTTGCCTGAAAGTTGTTCCACATGACTAATGTAATCAGGCAACTGTTTATTAGGATAGATTTATAACATAAGCTATGATGTGCATGACATTCAATAATATTATGTCAACGAAAGCAGAAGAGTGGTTTCTAAGACAGAGTTCCAAAATGGACCTTTGTCCTGACCCCAGTTGCCTTTCACTGGCCTGGAAGATCCCACCTCTTCCCACAACCCAGCCAAAGACCGTTCAAAACCCTATAGCTCAGCACACAAAGCTCCGCGTCTCCTGGGCAGGAGCACAGCGGCCTTCTCTGTCCTCTCCAGCATCTCCTCTTGAGGCTGCCGGGCTCGGCCAACACAAAGCGAGGACCCTCCAGTTGCTGCTGTTGTCAATTCTTGCCATACCAGTGCCACCTCTCTCTGGTCTTTTTCCCAAATCATGGAGACAAAATCCTACCAGCACGGGAGTCCTGTGCATTCCCTCTTCTTACACCAGACATCTGTTTTGTGTTGGGAGTCAGGGGCAGGTCAAGTGCTTGCACAATGCAGCTGGATTTGCTGATGCAAACACTGCTTGCCTGTGTTTTCTGACCTTGGAATGCACCCCCAGAACTATCCCTGCCAGCTTCCACCAGAGCTTTACCTCCAGTCCAAGAGGATAAGGAAAATGAACTGGACTTCACTTAACAAGTTATGGCCAAGAGGAAACCAAAGCACCTGGAGGCAGAAGGTTCAGAAGTTCGAGCTCAGCCTGGGCAATTTTGCAATTTAGAGAGACCTTGTCTCAAAATAAAAAATAAACATCAGGCTGAGGATGTAGCTCAGTGCCAAGGCCTTGGTTTAGTCTTCAGTATCCCTGCCCCTCCCCCAAATTCTTCTCTTTCCTTCTCTGTCCCCATGTAACGCTCTGCTTACTGGCCACTCTGTGTCCTGAAGGGAGGAGATACCGTGGCCAAGAGCATCCACTAGTGGACCCTAGGCGCCCAAGGTAAGCTGGCTCCTCTGACAGTGGTGGGTGCCAGGGCTTTTTTGCTTTGTCTGCCCACCCTTCACTAGATTTGCTTATTTACAAAAGTAAACAAATAATGCCAGTGTCTATTTTAAAAGTCAATCATCTCTCACCAGCTTCTGTTCTACTTTTAGTGCCATAAAATTCATGCATATTTTCCATTTGCAAAGAAAATGTGCATACAGTAGTTGATTGGATATTTAAAATACCTCGTAACTTGGAAGTTACTTAATTTCTCAGGACCTCAGTTTTCTCATTTATGAAAATGAGAATAACGCTATGTAAGCTAATGGTACTGCAATGATATATTAATCATAAGATAACACATGTACAACATATAGATTACAACATATAAATACTCAATTTAGTGCAAATAAATTAAACTGGTTATATGTGGTTTAGTTTTTTTGGGGGGTAGTACTGGGGATTGAGCTCAGGACCTTGCATTTGTGAGGCAGGCGGCATCACCACTGAGCTAAATCCCTGGCCCCAAGTTACATGTGGTTTTTAAGAAAATTATATTTATTTTTTTCAGTGGTCATCTGTGGCAAGTAATACCAGTTTTACATTTTCACTGGTGACCCAAGTTTCCATTTAAAATTAATTTCGGTTTTAAACATTAATTCAACTTCAAAAACGCATCTTATTTGTATAAGTCTCGATTCTTCAGAACAGTACACTGTGTCTATATAGAAAAATAAACCCCCTCAAGAAAAATGAAGCAGAAAATGCAAGAAGACAAGAAACCCCAACCAGACATCAGAAATCTCAAATCAAACCTGAACATTTGTGGCCTAGAGTTTCGGGGAGAATGCAAGATAAATTCCAATGCTTTTTGCGATTACCAAGACCAAAACAAGAGAATTTGTAGTCAGTTCCTCTTGTCCCTTCCCTTTTTAGTGGCCCCTACAACTTTCTTTTCTTATCCTGGCTCTTCCCACTGGAAAATCTTAAGACCATTCAACATCCTCCACCAGAAGAACCACTAATAGGGTCTCTGTGCTCCAATGCTATCTTTCCCTCCCTTTCCATCAGAACTCCTTTCTTTTTATAATGTGTATCTCTAAAGGATCGGCCAGAAATCCTCATTATTTATTGTCTTAAGAATCAATAAATATTCACTGGGTATCTGCTAAGTGATGCAAGAGTGCATGCCTTTATGGGAAGACCCACAAGACCCAATCCCTGCCCAAGAGGGGATGAAGGTTCACTGGGGAGTGGAGACAGGATACAAATAACTATAATTGTAGGGTAGGAAGGTAGTGACTTCCACAAACAGCTACAGCCAACATGCCCAAGATGCCATACAGGAAACAATGAATTTTGCTTTGTAGGGATCAGGACAGGTTCAATATGGAGGTAGCAGGGACCGCCCCTCCCCCCAAGCATTGGTTTTATAAAAAAAAGATTATATTATTAAGTCCTGGAGGTCCTGCAACCAGTGGATTATTCTGAGTCCCTTGTCATTCTGGGCCAACAACTGGAAGGAAGGTTGGCTTCCTGTGGTCTTTTCTCTGAAAGCCGCCAGCGCCTTCCCATGACATTACGGGCCACTCAAGTTCGTATGCTTAGGTTTGTTTGCTTGCCACAGAACAAATCAATGGAGGCCATTTGTTTTGGTAAAAATGAGAAAGGATTCATCCAAAGGCAGCACCAGGGAAATGGTGGGGCTCGTGGGGGGTGCGTAAGCGTCCTTTACGGTGAGGAGCAGGAGGGAGGGACAGGAGGATGCAGATCTCTGCAGTTGCCTTACCACTGCCGCCATCACAGCCGTCACAGCTCATCCTCGCCCGCCTCTCATGGAACGAAAACCGGGCTCCAGCCTCCTGGGCCAGCATCTGCGTCTTCTGTCACGGTACTCATGCTGAGGAGAGGAAGGAGAATTACTTATGTGCTCAGCAGGACGAAGTCTGGAGAAGTTGCTTATCTATAAAAAAAAATCTAACTTTCAAAGTTCCATTTTGGTCTTTTGGTTACAACAAGGACCACAGACCCCAGTTGGAGAGACAGACATAGATGCTTATGGCTCCGTACACAGCCCTGATCCCATCTGGCAAATTTCTGCTCAGCAGATATCCCTCCAAGAGTTCCCTGGCCACTCTCTCTCCTGTTGCACCTTCTTCTACACCCCTGCCTCATTTCAACAGGGAGAGAGAGAGAGAGGCAAGAGCACCGTTTCAGATGCTCTTATTCACTTTTCAAAGTGGAGAATCTTGCCTGTAGGAAGAAAAATAGACGATGGAAGCAGGAGCAGGGCTTTTCACATTTGCTGCTGCCCTCCCTGTGATGACGTACTTTCTCCTCCTCCTGGGTAAACATCAGAGGGCAGGTATCTATTTGAGATGCTGATTTCAATCACCTACATATAAATCCAGTAGTGGGATTGCTATGGTAGTTCTACTTTTCATTATTTGAGATTTCCATACTTTCTAGAATGACCGAATGACTACATTTTCACCAGTAGGGTACCAGGGTTCCCTTTTTTTCATATCCTCACCTACACTTGTTATTTTGTCTTTTCAAATGACAGCTATTCTAACAAGTGTGAGCTGTTATCCCGCTGTCATTTCAATTTGTATTTCTCTGATGAACAGTGACACGGAAGGTTTTTTTATACATTTGTTGGCTCTCGGTGGGTGTATCTTTTGAGAATTGTCTACTCAGGTCCCTTGCCACTTCTAATTGGGTTGTTTTCTTACCAAGTTGCATTCCTTATAAGTTTGGATATTAATCCTTTATCAGGTGTATGGCTTATAAATATTTTCTCCCATTCTGTGGTTGTCTCTTCATTCTGCTATTTCCTATACTGTGCAGAAACTTTTTAGTTTGATGCAACACCATTTGTCTATTTTTGTTTGCATTGGCTGTACTTTTAGGACCATATTTAAAAAATTATTGCCCAGACCGATGTCAAGAAACTCTTCCCGTTTGTTTTCTTCTAGTAGTTTTACAGTTTCCAGTCAAATGTAAGGTACCAATCTATTTTTAGTTGTTCTTTGTAAATGGTGGGAATCAACATTTATTTAGCGCATTTTATGTGCCAGACATGTGCTAGACTCTAGCAATAAAAAGCTGAGCAAGGGCTGGAGATTTAGCTCAGTGGTTCTGCTGCCTGCCTCGCAAGCACAAGGTCCCACGTTCAATCCCCGGTACCCCCCCCCAAAAAAAAAGGTTGAGCAAGACTGGCAAGGATTCCGCCCTAATAAATTGCATAAGGCCTATTCTGAGGTTCTGTCTGAGAGAAGTAGAAATACCTTGTCTTTCTGAGACAGATGGGAGCGGTGGTAATGTTGATAAAGAGAGGTCTAGGGTAAAGGAAAGCAAATCCAAAGGCCCAGAGGTGAGAGCAGATTTGGCACCTTTGAGAACTGAAAGTTCACTCCTGTTTGAGGCCACTGGTGGGTTCAATGCTACAGAACTCCTGGACCATCTGTCTTTCTTCAACACAAAACCCAGCAGAGCTCAGAGGAAGAGTGAGTCCCCGACAAATGGCTGGAATTTAAGATCCATCAGTTTGTGTACTCTCAGAGTAGCCCCAGAGCACAGCAGATTCCTAGTGACCATCTGCAGAGTGGATGAATGAAGCCCTGGCAGGAAGGCTCAGCCCTCTCCTCAGGTCTCACTAAGTCCCCTGCTGGCTCCCTCATGCACCTCAGGCCGTCCTGCCCTTCAACCTCCCAGAAGTGACACCAACTCCTAGGTTGTGTGCATTATAGCAGCATGACTCAGAAAGTCAGCCCTTGAGGTCATACTCACACTGCTGAAGGGGACAGTTTGCCCATTCCAGTCAAGGACAGGATGGAGAAGAGCAAATGACATCCCTGAGTTCCCAGCAGGCCATGGGGGAATCCCTTGCTCACCACCACTAAGGTGTCCACTCTGGAGACATCATGGGCCTCACTTCCAAGTCTGCCACTGAAGATCAGTGAGCCCCACATCCCAAAGCAGCACAATGGCATACGGAAATATAGTTCCTGCACCTTCAGTGGTGGGATATTTGAATTCAAGTTTAGCTCATCTCTCAGTTCCATGCACTGACTAAATAAATGCCATTGTCCCTTTCCAAGAAGGCTGCGGGGCCAACATACCCAAGCTGCTATCTTGGCAGGGAGCTGTGAAGAGTGGCCCCACTTGTGGCCCATGCCACACATGCCACTCTCCTGAGTCCCACTCCCTCTTCCTGGGCTACTGCAAGTACTTCCTTTGCTCTGCCTTTCTTCCCTTCCTCCATCGGCGCCACAAGGGCATTTTCCAAATGCAAATGTGATGATGTCACTCCTCAGCCTACACTGTTCAGTGGTTTCCCACAATCCTTCAGATAAATGCCTATGAGGCCCTGTCAGCTCCCCAGACACAGCCTTCTCTCCTCACCCATGATGGGGTCTTTTCAGTTCCCCAAATGAAACACACTCTTTTTTCATCCAATACCTTTGCACACGCTACCCTCCTTATTCACTAACAATATAAATAAACGCTTTTGTCCAGGCAGTCTTCTCACGTCCCTGCCTCTGTAGCCCACTTATCTGGCTCCCAGAGCATCCTGCATGTCATCACTGGAACAGTTCATTTGGAATCCCTTGTATGAGGGGCTCTTCCCAATGGAATTCAAACTTCTAAAGGCTCTACGATGTCTTCCTTGTTCTCCACTCTATTCCTCTTGTCTTGTCCAAATAGGGCTCATTAAATATGTGTCACATCATTGAATATGTGTTCAGGTGATTGAACAGTTCAGAGCAACTTTATCAAATAAAATAAGAGACAGAGAGAAGCCAAAACGTAACAGGACCTCACACTGCAATTCTGAGCCACCTGGACTTCCTGACTTCCTAGCTCCGGAACTGTGTCTTCCCCTTACCTGGGGCTTGTGTGTTGTGATTAGCCCATTAATTTGGTTCAAAGAAATCTAGGCCCTTCCCTAGCCACCACCATGATCAGTAAGCCAAACTCTTGGTGGCCGACAGGGCCAGGAGAGCTCTGCTTTTTCCACCCCTCTGCTGTTTTACATTCCTCCCCGCAGTAGCGACAAACAATAATTCAGCAAAGGAAATATGAGTAATGGAAAGAAAGAGAAAAAAGTAAACATGTCAAAATGGGCAGTGTTCCCTGAGCTACTGCTATTAAAGAAAACAAGGAGAGTAGCTTTGGAGGTATTTCAGTGACTGCTAAGTGGAGAGAAATAATGAAGCTCATCCCTTCCTTCTGAGCTGAACTGCGTACCTCTATCTTGCTACAGAAGGGTGCAGAGGGCAGGGGTCACATGACACGGACTGAACTGAGCCCACGGGCTAGGACCTGCCCTAAGTCCCACAGAGAGGTGCTGATAGCAATGGAGTTGGACAAGACTGTGGTGGTAACTCAGTGTGGCTGTGTTTTCCATGTATTATCTAACTAATCCTCAAAGCTACCCTAAAAGGCATTATTAGTACCCTCATTCTACACGCAGGAAAGAAACAAACCTTGCCCTGTCACCAAACAAGTTAGTGCAGAAGCAGACTAGGAGCCAGGTCCTCCTGACCCTAGGAGCCCCAGTCTAAACCATTAAGAGTACGCTTCCTGCCTTTCTGATGCTTATAATTAAAAAGAAAAAGCATAAGAAAATCAAAAGGGAAAGTATAAACTATATAGCCTTATGAAACAATGAGCAGTCATCTTGAGTGCTGTGCAGTTTGGTTAATTATTCAGCAGACTCTTTGGTGCAAAGATTCTTAACAGGAAAGGCAGAAACCAAAGTGACTTTTTTCCGCCTACATGGCTGTGGGGCAGAAGATGAGCATATTTTTAGAAAAGTGAAGCAGTGCCCTTTCTCAGTGGCCCATAGAGGAGTACAGGAGCCAAAGCTTCTGCAGCCCAAACTGGTTGGGAGGCTCCAGCATGTTGTGAATTCCCAAAGCACGGAGGCCCTAATACTGCACCTACTGTGTGTGGTGGGGCTATCAGACGTGAGGCACTGTGCTATTCCCTTTATGTGATGTGATCGAACTCTGTAAGGAGTACAGCCCACGCAAGGAAGCAGCAGAGAGGCTAAGCAGCTTGCCTGTAGAAACATGGCTGTCAGTGGTGAGGGGTCTGAGTCAGCCAGTGCCCTCATCCAATGTCTGGGCGGTCTCAAAGCTGAAGAAAGAACGAGGAGACTCCATGTGGAATGGTGTCTCTCTCAGCTGTCTACAGTTCTTACCTGGCTGCAGGGACTTACTTCTAGGAGACTTACTGAGCGGGTCTTCCTTTCAGACTTTTGGAGTGCCTGCAATAACGCTGCGTTCACGCCAGGTCCAAAGTCCCACATTTAATAAGTGGGAGGCGCGGTCTCCCTCAAGAAAGTGTACACATTTATAGTGGTTCGAAGGGACACAAAAAACATTTCGAGGTGATTGTATAAAAGGTCTGGACTGAAAAGAGGCACCAAAGCCTGGAGACTCCCAGAAGAGGTGACGGGCAGAAGAGAGGGGGGCAGAAGTCATATTTAATGAAGAACTAGAAGAGTTGGAAGATTCCAAACACGGAAATAAGGAGACGGAGACTCTGGTCATACCGATTTCAGTATCACACACTGCCTACCTGTATTGAGTTATCACACTGCCCCCCATAAATAAGTACAATTCCTATGTGTCAATTAAAAAGAAGAAGTAAACAGAAAAGGAGTCACATGAGCTTTAAAGGGAAGTCAGAGCTGAAAAGAGGAGGGTGGTGCAGCATAGGAATCAGGGTCTTCAAAGAGCCTGAGGCCAAAGAGGCTCAAACAAAGGGCTGGTCCAGCAGGCATTCTGCTCCCCCAGCCTGGGCACCCTGGAGCCTAGCACCACACCTCGGGCAGACGCATCCTCAGGGAGGGCGCCACACAGAGGAACACAGACCCCGCAGGACCCT